GCACTTGACAGTCTCCACACCCATCACCACTCCAGCTTTCATTCGGCTGGCAGCTGAGCTACCAGTCTCAACTATGCTGTGAACGTAGACACTGCCACTCTCCTTTATGGACTGGACATTTTTACGAACACGCTCCATTTTACGGCCAACGCCATAACGCAGCTTGCCTCTGGCATCCTCCAGACTTTCAAAGATGGCCTTTGGCCGCCAGTCTTTGGGACTGTAACTTCCATCCCCGGCATCGTGTTTGTTTGACTCGTTGCTGTTTTCCCGATGGATGAGCAGAGGTGAGGTTACAGTTGCTTCCTGGCCAAAGCTTCCATCTTGGCTGCCACTGCTATTGGTCACATCAACCAACACTGAATCACCACAGCTCATATCCCCAGGGTGGTGCGTGGATGGGGATTTAGAGAGGAGTGGCACAATAAAATACAGCTTGTGCCTGATTTGGTTGATTGCCATCTTTATGAGGCCAACAAGTATCCCAATGACCAGGAACCCAGTTGCACAGTATGCACCAATAAACTGACTTTGAATGGCTATAGGTATGAAATTAGTGAACACCAAAACTTCCAAGTCCAATGACACATTACCAGCCACATTGAGAGCTAGGCACGTGAAGTTCCCAGACATGCTTCCACGAATTTTCTTGATAATCAGATTACCAGTAGAGTCTATGTGAATGGACGAGACAATATCCACATTGGGTTCTTCATATTTTTTGCGCATGCTTATACTTTTCCCAAAAAGTGAAGAGTCTGGCTGCTCGTCAGGAAACTTGTCTTTGGAGAAAAGCTCACCCCATGGTGTTTTCCAAATGATTGACGGTTGTGGAAAGCCTTTGACAGCGCACTGGAAAGTGACAGAACTGGTAGTCAGAACAGATGTGGTGTTTTTAGGAGTGGTCATCAAGCTATGTGGACTACTGCATAACAAAGAAGCTGACTCAATTTCAACTAAGCGTTTTCCCACAAGGGAATCGGGAGAGCTACATAAAGTATTTTGAGGACTCATTAAAACTGGTCGCAGTTCAGGCAGAAGTCTCAGCATTTGCCCAATCACGCAAGAACATTCTAAAGGATTCTCCGAAATATCTAAGCTTTTAATCCCACGCATAATCAAAACCTCTGTATCATTCTCTGAAACAATCAAAGATTTTAAACGATTATGATGCAGATTGAGAGATTCAAGGCCAGTGCAGTTGGCAATGTGTTGAGCTGAAAATACATCTATAGCATTGTATTCAAAATTAATACGCTGTAATGAGGTCATTGATGAAAAAAATTGTAGTGAAATATCGGTCAGGGAATTGAAGCTTACATCAAAACTGGTCAAAGCATGCATACTGCTGAAAGTATCTGGTTCCAGGTGGTTCATTTCATTGTGAGACATGTCCAGTTCAGACAAATGGTCCAGACCATGGAAAACTTTTTCAGGCAAACTTTTAATTCCATTGGAGCTTATCTTCAAAGAGGAAGTCACTCTCAGACCCTTGAATACTTCTGGCCTCAGCTTTAAAGAAGTGTTTGAGATATCAAGGCTCTTGAGTTCTGGCAAGCAGCTGAGGTGGTGAATAAAATTCACTGCATTTCCAGACAACTTGAGTTCAAGTCCCCTTTCCTCGTCAGAAAAGATTGTGTGGATCTCCTTACATGTATTCTCCCATTCACTGGATGTTGACACTTCACATGTTAGTTTTGTTGATAACTCATTGGTTTCAACACAAGCGCAGGAATGAGGACACAGGCTTTTATGCTTATTTAAGTCAACCATTGAATATACTATGTTGAAATGTACAGTTAAAGTAAAAAACAATTGGAGTATCTGCCACAAGAAAAGAAACTCCATTTTCTCAGTCTCTTCCCAAGTGAAGGATCTGAATAAAAAAAAAAGAAAAGTTGGAAATTATAGGAGGTAAAATGTGTTAAGAGAATATAAGGTACCACAAGGTCAAAGGTGGGCGACAGTTGAAGTATAAATAAGGGGGTGGGGTGGAGCTTTAGGGGTAGAATCAAGGCTATAGTGAGTGACCATTTGTACTGTTTTACAGGACAGAACTGATTTTTGGACCATTGTCCTGGTTTGTCAGCTGAAACAAGTACAGTTAAGAGAATAATATTTAAGAGGTAATCACAAATGTTCTCTATTTAAGAGGTAATCACAAATGTGCTTCTATTTTTGGACACCGATTGGCAATGGAATTTTAATTGTCCTGGGTTTTGATAAAAAAGGTCACCTTAGGCCATGGGCGCCCGCAGAAAACTTTCTA